AGTATCGCCTTCTTCAGAGCCTGGAAGGGTATACTGATATACAATCTACTAGGCCAAACGCTTCAATAACACTTACAAAAAGACGAAAAACTTTTTGGTAATTACACGATCAACAGCTTCTCGAAAAACTCACCGCTTTTCGTGACTTCCAATGAGGAAGATTAGAACAGCTGATTATAGTCGCATGTGATTGGTGACTGCACCATGCCACATCAGCAATTGATGCGAACATACGGGGTTAGGTCGCGTATGACCTCTGGGCATTCACCCCTGCTATTAATTGTAGGGTTTGTGTGCATCCGTATAAAAGAACACCTAGATGGCAAACGAAAACTAAGACAAAGTATCCCACTAGGCACGCATAGGATACAAAAGCATAGCGAAGACGATTTTGAAGTAGAAGTCAATATCCTTGCACAGGAGACTAAAACACCAGCGCGAAAATTTCCTCAGGTTTTTGGATAAATGCCAAAACCCTACAATGAATAGCAGGGAGGAATGGCCAGAGGTCATACGCGACCTGACCCCGTATGTTCGCATCAATTTCTGTTGTGGGATGGTGCAGTCATCAACCATATGCGACTATAATCAGCTGTTCTAATCTTCCTCATTGGAAGTCACGAAAAAGCGGTGGGTTTTTCGAGAAACTGTTGATCATGTGATTACCATAGAGTTTCTCGTCTTTTTTTAAGTGGTAATGAATCGTTTGGCCTAGTAGATTGCACATCAGTATACCCTTGCAGGCTCTGAAGAAGGCGATACTGCCGAAACGTCAACTACTGTTGTATTGTATTGTCTTTTTCTATGGAGGTGAATGTATGCTGTTTAATAAACTCGCGATTGCTGAACGAGAAAACGACGCATTCATATGCCAATTCCGAGGTTAGTAGAAAGTCGATCCTGGGAACTATTGCCGGAATTTTCACTCTTCTTCACGCACATAACATTCATTCCCTACTATATCATTGAAGATCTAGCTCGACAAATAATATCTTGTGTCTAGCCGACTGATTTCTCCTTTTCAAAGTAAAATGTTCCATGTATTCAAGATTGGTTAAGTTTCGCGCCTGCTGCCTGTTCCATGTGAACGTCTGAATAGAAACGATGGGACAACCTTTATAGCTCATGTAATTTTCAGATTCATTTTTCGTGTCTATTATAGCATATAATGTATTATAATTATTTTGATGCTTTTTAAAGCGACCATCACTCAACCTCGTTATTAGTAGTCAGTACCTTGTTGAACTATTAAGCGAACATGAGGTTGATAAAAACGTCTATTCGGCTAATATTTCTGCTCCTTCATCTTCTTCAGAACCGATGATCCGAAGATTAAGAAGATTCGACTCAATACGAAGACGCGAGCTCCCATATCGATTATCGATATATAGGGAGAGGACGAAAACGACTGTGGAACCACCGACTTGGATCGTTATCTCTGATGAAGACGAATACGTCGAAACGCTAGCTGAATAAACCTTTTTATTAACCATGCGTTACCTTAGCAATCCAAGAAGGTATTATTTTAATAATTTGGTAACATTCCTCTTTTGTCACATTTATTATAATTCTTTGAAATTCTAATTGCTGTAGTCTGTCATATAATTTCAGTACTAATAATACGTGTAATAATATAATAATAATTGTAATAATAATAACGTAATGCGTATGAATGACAACCGATGGACAAGAGCCGTTGGTGACTGGATTCCTCGGAATGTCAAACGTACTGCAGGAAGGCCACCGTCCCGATGGTCAGAGTTCTTCACAAAGAGCCTTGAAGAAAGATATGATGCTCGACGAGTCCCTAGAGCGAGCAGAACCCACTGAGGTCCTCTTGCACGCGACAGGGAAAAATGGAAGATTTACTGGTACCCGCTCAAGTCACTCGACGATCAGTGGGAGTACAGGTGATATAGGAATAGTACAATTTTGTCATTGCTTTTGTTTAATGTCGAGTGGTCAGGGTGTTCAGTGGTGTTTTAAAAATAGAGAAATAGGTGTTCTGATGAAATATTATAGGAGGCAACCAGGTGGAAGGAAAGACTTGCGACGGAATCAACACACCTAGCACCTCCCGCACATTGTATGCATTTTACAGGTGGTCAGTCCTTAGTGACTGGTTCAGTTTTCATCATAGTGCTTATTTCCCATAAGCCGATAGCGTTGCACAAATCCTGATTATTGGTGCTAAACAATGTCGAAAAGTGGGGTCCGCGTAGACAATAACTGCACAGTGTTTAATTCGGTTGATGATGTATCCTGGGTAAATCGTTGTTAAAAAAGACCGGATACTCTTCTATAAATACGAAACAAAGCGATTCCCGAAAGCTCCTACCAGCTCTAAGTCTTCAATGCTTTATTATAATTTCATCATTGTCATTATTACTACGCATTATTGATATGTTATCACAATTATAAGTGACCGTACTGACTGTAGCAACAGCTGAAACGGAAGCGCATGTAGCGCAGTAGTTAAAGGTGCCCTATAATAAATAAACGCGTGTTGTTTAGTTCGATCATGGGCCTTGTGCTCACCAAGCCTTCTATTGCGCGGGTTCGAAATATGGCTACCAGACTTGCATGAGTGGATAAATGAACAGAAATGTTATGCCGATAGACTTTGGGAACTCACTACACAGGTTGAATACATATTCGACCACATCTACGATACTTGATAAAGTCAAACACATGACGTTTCCCTCAGTGTCTGATCAACAGCACAAGATTGTCAATAGCAACTAGAGCGTTTTAAGGATGATGAGGTTTGTCGCAGTGGATCGTCATCGAAGTAAGTCGAAGGGATTCCGGAAAGTCGAAAAAACTCATCATCGATGGCTTTACCTTTACATGCATGCATTTCATGAAAACTGAAGAGATTTAATAGGGAGTTTACCTGAATCGTTGAAAACAGCTTGATTGTTTGTTCGTCATCCTTTCGATTTGATTTCGGTAGAATCCACATCAAGAATGACTTCGCTCCTAGATGACTAATGACACACTTTCAAATCGCATTCCTTTTAAACCAAAAATGATTTTAGCGAGTTTCTACCTATTCATCAATTACAAGCAGCAAATGAAAGGATGTGGTGGAGGGAGGGAGTGAAAAAACTCGGCGTTCACGTGAATTTCGCCATTGGCCGTTTTATTCTCGATGAGTCGACACAAGCTCTTTGGATTACTCTCATTTGACCATCGTTTGCTTTTAAATATTACTTCACCTATATCTCACACCTTCTTTCATTACTATATGAAGAACTTTGCCATCCGGTTAGATCTTTTTGGTATGGCTTTGACGTGATTGGAATTCAAATGCACACAGTTCTTGCGCACCGGTCGTCGTTTAGACACATCGCTACACGACCTCTGACTTTCGACATTTTGGCATGCGAAACGGAGTTTCTGATTTTTGATCGCTGGCGTAGTTCCGAACTTCGGATTCCCTCTCTCACTTGCGTCATAAGGGTACTCTCATTGTCTCCCTATCGATTCCACGTTCAATAACGCTAACTGATCTTTCATCTTATTTACGCAGCAACTAGTTTTCCAACGCTTACGTTAAGCTGGGAAGAATCGCGCTGTCGAAAGACAACAATACCCGTAGCCACCACCGTCCTAGTATGTACGGTGACAAATTTCTTTCCGATCCACGGGAACGGCGACTGCCTGTGGTAGTGAGAATCTGGGGCAGACTTTGGCTATGCTGAGCTCGGGACTCCAGGGAACTAACTACAGTGGCTAAACCAGCAAAACTCCGAAAAGATGAAATTATGCCGGGCCCACACAACCAGTTACGACGGGATATCCAACTATCCAAGTAAGATATAGATGCAAGCACAGTGAACCATTCATGTGTGAACAAACAGAAGGTCCAGAAGGTGATGCATCAAGGCTGAACGCCGGAAACAAGGATTCCGTCCTGCTGGATCAACCTACGTCTCAGGAAAGCACAGGATCCCTTTTGTCATTATCCGCCTCTGAAGAAGCGCCACGTATCATCGCCAATAAATGTGGGAGATTTGTAGCAATCTTTGCCGGCAAAGGAAAAATTTAAGTTAACGCCGAAAATAAGTGTAACAGAAAGTCGGAAAATTATCAAAAAAAAAAGCAGTTATAAACATTTAGATATAAATAGACTTTGCCGAAAAGTGTAAAATACTCTGTAGTGTTAATCGTCTATTTACTTTCATCTAATTCATCATGATTCAAGGTTAACTCGTTATTCCTTGCAGACAACCCTAGCATTATAGAGGTGCAGTTTTTGAGTCTCACACTCGCCTAGTACTTGCGAAGTTGCTAAATTCTTATCAAATGAGCTGTGGCAGAGCAATATTTTCAATACACCTCTTATCAAGTGGATTCAAGCAACGTGCATGTAATGAATTGAATCCCTTCAACGTGAAAACATCCTATGCAGCTGTTTTCAAGCGCGTAAAAAGGGTAAAGTTCACGTGCGTAATAAAGTGAATTTCTTCCTCGGCTAGTCACTCTATACAAGAGTTTCCCACGATCTAAACGCTGCCCTCCAGTCCACGTGGGAACGTCCCAGCTCAGCTACCTCCAAGATTGCTCGCAGAATCTACTCGAACAGCATTCTACGACATTCATAAAGGAAACGAAATCCTCAAGCAACAGCCGAACCAACGCGCTAAATGTACGAAGACCGCTGTGGACGATGAATGAGTGCGGCGCAAACGAATCGAATGTAAGATGTGCTGGGACCAGTACAGTAGATGTTGTGGTAGGTCATGCAGAAATAAAAGAATGAGTGTCTCAGAAATGCTGTTCACAAGCAACCATCGACCTTGTTTCTCTAATAGAATTTTTGAGGTCAGGTCTCCTTGCCACACATCAGTGACCATCTGCTCCACACTGGAGGAAATGGAAATTTTTACCAAATCTTTTTAGTGAACACTACCTTTGTCATTAAATCTCGTAATGCCGACGATAGAGAATCCAGAGTCCAGATATCAAGAATTTAACTTTCTAGTGATTGAAGATCAGTCGTAGTGTGTACGCTCTTCAAGATTTGAGAAAGATAAATGCGTTGCAATGGCATCTAACGTAAAATAGGTAATACGTAGCTTAATGTCGACTGAATGAAACACAAAATAGCAAAAGGGAGACGTATTTGTTCGTTTCAAAAATTGGACCACGAACCACCATGTGGCTAAACAATTCACTAACCTGAGTAGCTATCCTCATCTCCGACATCTTTTTTAGCATTAGCGGCTTGACCCATTTCTAGTTCTGGCCCAAAGGCGACATTACGCGTTGTAGGTGTTTCTGGAAGTTCCACTCCGATAGGATTAGCGGTTAGCTACATAGTTAGTTATTGGTTAACTTATTAAAATAACGCTAAAAAATACCAAGCCATATATTTTACACAGATCCTTTATTCTCAGGCATTCCCTAGTTTTTGTTACAAAATCTCGATTATCACGTAGACAACCCACGAAAAAGTATTCTATAATGAAACAAACCCTGAATTCTTCTTCGGATTCTTGGTTTTATGATGAGCTGAACATATAGGGCAGCAGCCAGGCCGCAACCAATAGAAATGAGAATTGCTCCCCAGGTAGGAATCTTGTCAAAATGGAGCACTGTAAAAGATAAACTTGTTCGAGCAAAAGCGGTTGAGAAATGGTTTCAAACACAAACGTTTTGAACCGTCCCATGTCACCATAAACGTATTGAATGCGATGCAGACGAAATAGAAAATAGGTAATGCTAACATTCCACATTCTAACGGTTGCTTCTAGAAAGATCCAAAACTGTTTCAAACGTTTCTTTATTAAATTGACATCGTTTTTAGAGATTGATTCTTACCCTTCTGAGTACTGAAACATCAACAATAATGTAGAGAATCACAGAAACTGTTCCAGATAGAACAGGCGATAGAACCCAAGAAATTGCTGAAAATAGTCTAAAATCAAGGAAACTTTCGCAAATTACAGTTGTTTTTCGAAACTGTAATTGCTGGGACCCTACTTTATAAGGGGAACACTCTTTAGCATTTCTGCGAAGTTCATCGCAATAAAGCACAGTAGAGAAATTACCAATGCCACTATGTGGTCACCCAAATCTACCAACCTATGTTAACGATTTTCATCCATCGAATTCCTTGGAACCCTCGTAGAACAACGGAAAAGCCGATAGTAGCACCAACGAGCGAATGAGTTGTCGATACTGGCATGCGGAATAACGTCGCCATCAGAAGCCACGATGCGCAACCTACAGTATTTTCACATGGAATCAAGAAAACTTTTCAAATAGAAGTAAAAGAACAGATGGCGAAGGTTCCGACGTAAATCATCCTAACCGATATGCGAGGGCATAGAAGATGGTCTGTGTATCACAAGGTATAAATTTGTGCACAGAAAAAGTTACGGCTTTTCAGGAACAAGGGTACGGATGTTAAGCGTTCGTCGTTAACCAATCGCTTAGGACTGCACCAGATTTTCAACTAAAATGGGCATCATAGTGCTGTGAACTAATACATATTTTGTCAGTACAATAACTTCTATTGGTTTATCGATCCATTAAACCATGTTCTATCTCTACCAGACAAGTATGACACAGATTTCTCACCCCCAGATGGACAGAGTTGGTGAGCCAGAGCGCGTTGAACGAACAACGACAATAGCAGGGCAATCAGTGAGTACCTGTGTACCACGAGCTCTTACACTATTCACTTTTTACACTTCCGTGCCCTTCTTTTTCTAGAAAAACTAAAAAATATAGGAAAAAGCAAACAAAAGAGATTTTAAGCGAAATACAACCACAACGTTGCTGAGATATTTTTTCAAAACTCTGGACCGCAGGTGTCTATGGTGAGGAACGAACGCAATATTACCCTTTTCGGGGAGTAACGCGTTCACCACCACACCATGTGGGTCCTTCGTTTCGCCCGTCTCTCAGCTAGTTCTATCGTTCGGTGCCATCAGCAATCACCCGTCAACGGGATTGATCCTGGTAGCCCGCATCGGCATTGAACCCAGTTAAGCTGAGGCTGTAGTTGAAATCACAATGTTTTTAGCTTTTATTTCCTGCCTACAACAATTGTAGGCAGAAAATAAAAGCTAAAAGAGGCTTTTTTGCACTAGCAATTTTTATTTAATGGCCACCATTTGTGAAATTTCACAATACGCCTATACACATAAGATTGTTTTTTGTTCACATGATGATTATAATCTTACTTACTTGGACAGCCTTTCCTCACTGCTTGTGTAGGGTCCAGCCTGTTCTCCATTTTTCGCAGTTTATCTGGTTTAGCCATTGTGCTTTCCTAGAGTTCCGAGGTTAGCATGGCCAAAGTCTAGCCTAGGTCGTAACCAGCACAGAAAGTCGCTGCTCTTGTGGATCAGAGGGAGATTTGTCACCATGCAACTAGTTTGATACCAGAACGGTGGTGGAGCCTGGTATTGCTTTACTCTTAGCTGGGCTTCTTAATGGAAAGGCCGGATTCCTTTCTAGGATGGGAGACCCTGCCGGAGAGATGAATAACCCCGTTGTACATCGCAGCCGGACGCTCAGGAACACCTCCAACCTGCGATGAGGCGGTAGACCGTTGGGAGGATGATTACAGTCAAACCAGTTATATTATTAATAATATGTTAAGTATATTATAGTTATATTATTAATATTAATAATATTTGTAATGGTCCAAATCATTGTTATTTTAGGTTTGAATTGTACATCAAAGGGAAATAAGGATCAAGGTTACTATGTCCACTTTTTGGAAAAGAGTAGTTTTCACGGGATTGCTTAAAATATTTTCTTCAAGAGAGCATTTTCCGAAAAAAACGTCCTTCCATAGTATTTATAGAGAACATTCTTCACGAATATTGGAATGTTCTCTATGCAAAACAATTATAACCTTATGTCTTCTACAATAGCTGTCTACTTGTAATCGTCATACATCTATTCTTGCACATTCGGTAAATCGTCTCTTAGCAACCATTTCATGCAATTGCCTCGCAGGTGGCTGGAAAGGGAATCAGCAGCAGTCAGCTGAATGTACTTTTCAGCACCTGTCGTTCCAAAAAAGTCTCCGAACAGACACCTGCACACTTCCACATGCAGCCCTATCAAATTGTGCTAGTAGAAAAACCTTTAGAACCCCTCTCTGGACGCCGTCTTTAGTTTTTTCTGGCAAAGCTGCACCGACTACAAATGTAATACAGGCAGCCCATAGGACTGTCCTGAAGTGTTAACCGCGTTCGACCGGTCTGCTTCTGGTCCCTCAATACCTCAGTGCTCCAACACCAGTGCCCGCGTCAATTCCTTCAAGCGTATCACTTGCTACCTTTTCAATCCTGCTCTTGTCCACCCAGCTTACATATCGCTAAATATCACACATTATCGTATCACTGTTGCATTAATTAGACAGTTGTACCGTTATGCCAATCTCTTTACTCATTAGCAACCTGAACACCAGTGATCACGTTGCGCCTATTCATTACCCGTATCATTGTTGCATTATATGTAAATTTGTATTGTTATAATTGTTGTATAATTATAATAAACGGTTTAATTACCCAAGTTTGAGGTGTCCATCATTGTGACTGCTAATCAGAATTCCCGCGTGGCGTACACAAAGGCGAGCAGCTAATTCCGACCGAATTGTCCTAACTAATCGGTATTTCTATATCAACGAGCTGTCCCAACAGTATTTCTTTTACTAATTTTCACTATTTTTCGGACTGATTTCCGTTTTTAAAGTTGTAACGGGTGAACAGTTTAGTTAACAGATTATAAATTAGTTAACATTGCTTTTGACGATCGTAGTTCTCACCAACCTCCGAGAATTGCAATCTGGCCGAGCATCAACTCTTTCGGATTATCCATGTACTGTTCTGTGTTGACCACGCCCTTTCTCATTGTGTCCGTCACTGACCAGCCTAAAAATCGTCTTTAAGTGTTGAATCGAAAAGCATTGCCTTTTTCACATCTTCATCCACGTTTGCTTTCGTTTTTACGCAAATGGTACTTGTACATATATGCATATATATATATATATGTAATTAAAATTATGGTTGATGTGTGACGCGTGTAGCGCAGTGGTTAGAGGTACCATGCGATATACGCGAAATCTTTGTTTCGATCTTTCCTATTGAGGTGGCAGATCTACCATCTTTCTAGGATTGGCATCGGACTTGTCTGGAAGGATAAGTACTTGATAATATGTTAACTGCCTGTTTATTTTCACTGCAGTGTGCAATGTGGAATGAAGCTCTAGGGATGCTGAAATATGAGGAAAACTCTGGACCCCATTTGAACTCCAAAGCCGCAATTACCCTTACCGGATACCCACATGCTATCCACCGTACCACGAGACCCTTGCCTTGACTTTTTCTCAACCATGTTTTTACTAACCTTTTATTTAACTTCTAAGTAACTAACTTTTCCCTTAATAACTTGTTACTTCAGCAGGTTTGGTTATCCAATTAGTAAGTTTGATACAAAAAATTACTATTGGTATGCCGAAAACGACAAGAGGCGGTAACCAGAGTGTGAGAAACAGCTCTTGTAATAATGCAGGCCTAAAAGCAATTGTAATAAGGACTTGAAAAATCTCAGAAATATGAGTGTGTGGAATGGAACATAATATTTATGTAATATATATCAACAGCTATACATCTTGAGTTCCTGGTCCAACAGCTCCAAGGCGGTGTAGGTTCCCTCTAGGTGAGAGACAGGGAATTAAACGTGGATAAACAAAGCAACTATGAGCATTTCCTGTGGTGCTAATTGTAGTGCTAATGGATTCCTGCCGTTAGTTCCGTCTCCCACATTCTAAATGGACTCGCACTTTCGCATGCACGAATCATAATTACTTTTTTGCTTGGCTACCTCTCTACCTATGCCGATTGTATTTGTTGAACTTATAGAATGCCTATAGGCTGGTACTTGCGTGCTATATGAGGAACATTCGGGAGATTTCCAAAAGGCGCCTACTTCCTCGGCAAGAACTCGATGAACTAGTTTTTCGCAAGTACAACCAACCAATGTAGCGGAGCAAAGCAAGCCACTTCATAACATATCGCCAAAACGGTGAAAAGTAAATTCTTTTTGGATGGTTTCCTGCGGAGAGTGACAAAGACAACTCACTATGAAACTATCTATGAAACTGTGACGTGCAATTGGTAGGAATTAAGATTTTATCGCTAACTAAGCTTGTACAAAATCGTCGTACCCCTTACAAATTTTGTTTTTATTATTACTACAACTACTATTATTATTATTTATGTAACCGCATATTGCCTGAATCCCAGCGCTTCATGCATTTAGTACCCTGCACTACATCGCTGCATTTATCTAGGAACATCTTCCGATTTTAAGCGCGGAACTAGCTAGAGGTTGAGAAATCTTGGTTTTCTTTATAAATGTTGCTGAATAATAGTGCGTCGATTCACTCTAGGGATATTTCTTCTAGAACTACCCCAGCTTTCTACTGCAGGTGATCACTGGTCTTCTTGCATTGTAGAAAGTTTTAACGAGATAGTTCTTGAGCCAATCTGTTCACACCAGTGGGATGGAAAAAACGCTTGGCACGGGAGAGGTTAAACTATATTATGCTATACTAGGTATAGCGTATGTATCATAGTACCTCTAACCACCACTGCGTTTCCGATCATGACTATAATTCAGTTGCGACTTCTTTTCTAGAAAATATTTCTAAGAATTGGAATTTTAGGAGAAGGATTTTGATTAATCATAGACCCTAGTTTAGTCAATATATTATGTATCCTCGACGACAGACTCAGTGTAGAAAACAATCGATGTCATTTTTCGGAGTCTCGAAAGTGTTCGCACCAAAAAAAACTGCACCAGGCCAGACAGTTGTTACTAATGCAGATTTGTGATTGGCACTTGCGTTCGTAAGCGCATTTCCCGTTGGTACCACAACATAGACTTGGTAACAGACTTGTCTGACAGGATAGCAGCACTGACTCGATACATCAGTAGACCACCGCGAGTCATTGTGAAGGCCAGATATGCATTCAATCGCCTCCAACGATACTTAATGAAGTCGAATGCATGGCGCATTCCTCAGCGATGCATCAACGCCGACAGCTTTATCCTTTATCCTTTTTTGCCACAAAATCTCTTTGATTCTCACCTACTAGAACAGCACCGAGCGTTTCAAAAATGCTGGCCAGAATGTAGGCTTTGACGACGGTGAGCACTCCGCTGCCAACCGAAGTGCCGAAGGCGTTGGCGACGTCGTTGCCGCCCATGCCAGCACCGAGTAGGAACGCCAGGATAACTCCCACTATCAGCGCCCATAGCATCGAGTGTCGGAAATTCTGCAAAGAAAATTCGGGATGATTTCCGTCGAGGGTGTAGGAATTGATTGGAACATTTTTTTTTGGTTTTTTAGACGTACTGAACATCTTCATGAAGTTTTCTCTAAAATAGCACCACATTGGTGGATTTGCTACTTGCTTCGGTGTTTACCGTGCTTCAGCATTTTTTTACTTGCGAAACGTTTGTTGCATCTTTTGTCGAGGTAAGAAAAGCCCTTGAAGATTAATCAATAAACGTCTTTCAAGACTTCATGCTCTGCCAACTTTTTTGTCAAAAAAATTTTCGCCACAATTTAGTTTCCCTTCCGAGTGGGTAGAAATCAAGAGCGGCCAAGAAATTTTGTCTTCAATTTGTTTTAAATCGCAGACAACCTTTCCTTTCCAATTAAGAAGTCATTGTTAGAGTTGAAAGCAAAGTAGTGAAAATATTTAGCGCGGCTTAATTGTGAAACCTCCCGACGGTTCACTGCCTCATCGTAGCTGGGAGGTGTTCTTGGTTGTAGGGCTGCGATGTACAGCGGGCCGATTCATCATACGGGTAGGCTTTCCCAAGCTGAAGAAGGAATCCGGCGTTCCCATCAGGAAGCTCTGCTATGAATAAACTAATACCAGGATCCACCACCGTCTACGTATCAAACTATTCGTATGGTGGTAAATCTCTCTGTGATCTATAAAGGCCGCTACCTGAGGCAGACTTTGGTCAGGCTGACCTCGGGACTCCAGGGAACCACAACGGCTAAACCAGCAAAACTCCGAATAATGGAGAGGGCGCTGGGGCCCGCACAACCGATGAGGACGAGCCGTACAAGTATTCAAGTAATTGTGAAACATGCTTACCATATTCTATTAGCAATAGCATGCATTCCAAATCACAATGGTAAAAAACTGCTACTAAACGTCTAAAGTAAATAAAGACACTGATATGAAGGAAAGTGCCATAATGTCAACATAGTAGTCCACATGGCCCAAGTACTGTCGAACACACACCGTACTCGATTTCTAGGAGATAAGAAGAGATACGGCTATGACTTGAAATATACATATATGTGCTTTTAATCTATCAACATTATAAAAGTTTCCGGTAAAAAAACAGCTGTTCGGCAAACAACAAAGCAATAAGATTTTTATTGAGCGACTTGACATACAAAGATCTTATTTCATAGATCCCATCATACCGCTTACCTCAAGCAACATTCCAGATATTGGCAACGTTGTTGTTATAAAGGCGTCCATTTTCTAAAAAACAAAGACATGCATGTATATGCATATACTATTCGTAAAAAGTCACTACCACTGTGGCAGAGGAGATCGATCACAACGTGGATTCTACTAAGCCAGTGACGAGGATACATGATTCACCAACAGTTGCCGGGAGTTATGCGCTGATCACAAGCAACTTTGTACTTAGTCTTGTGAAGCTCAGACTCAGGCGATGGGCTCCCTTCTATTACGTCGGGTTTTTTGTAAATCCGTAACCCTATTGTAAAGACTAGATAGTTGATTATGTCACCCATTTTGCTCATCCCTTGCACTCAACTAAAACATATTAAGAGTTACGAAATTGTAGTGCTCCCAAAAAGCAGGCCTCATTCTATTCCTGGGAACACCAACCAACATGTTATCCGTTCACGCCGTCTCGACAAGAATAAACTCTAGTTGGCGAAAAGGATGAAATCGGACCAAACGGAAACTTTAAAAAACAGGTCGAATCAGATTAAGTGGAATCCAAAAGACTTAGACCTGATAACTATGAGAGAATGGAAGTAAAATTATCTAAGAAATTACAAGATCTAGGCTCAGGTACTAAGAAAATCTCTCGAAAAAAAACAGACTTAGACCTGATAACTATGAGAGAATGGAAGTAAAATTATCTAAGAAATTACAAGATCTAGGCTCAGGTACTAAGAAAATCTCTCGAAAAAAAACAGACTTGGACCTGATAACTATGAGAGAATGGAAGTAAAATTATCTAAGAAATTACAAGATCTAGGCTCAGGTACTAAGAAAATCTCTCGAAAAAAAACAGACTTGGACCTGATAACTATGAGAGAATGGAAGTAAAATTATCTAAGAAATTACAAGATCTAGGCTCAGGTACTAAGAAAAACTCTCGAAAAAAATACCTCCCGAAGCGATGCAATAATATTACGCTGGATGATGTTTGTTTTAAAGAAACCTCATTATAAATAGAATTCACTATAGTTGCCAGGATCGACTTTCTCTTAACCTCGGCATTGGAATATGAATGTGTCGTTTTCTTGTTCAGCAGTCGCGAGGTTTTTAAA